GCATCCCCGAGCGTGATCTCGTTGACCGTCTCAGAAAGTACGAGGCCTTGCTGTCTCAGAACGGTATCGAGTTCGAGTCGCTTGGTCCGGATATAAAGATCACCGACCCCGGCTCTGTCGAGGAGGGCGATGAGCTCGAACCTGTCTTCACCAGACAGAGACCCAAGGCGTCTTCTGCCGGTCCAGAACCTGATGTCATCTCCTCTGTTGGTGAGAACCTCCACAGACCACGGTGAGTAGTCTCTCGGATTGCCCCAAATTAGGAGTGCCTTGCTGTTGCACGTGCTAAATGAGACATGCCGATAGCACATATAGATGGTTCCCTTTTCAGAAAGAGGTGTGTCGATTCGTTTTGACGCCTTCGTAATGCCCACACTAATCCAAGTCCAGTTTCGAGCGCCCACCGATCCACTTCCAGATTCTTCTTCTGAAGAAGACGTCGGGTCAACCATTAACCACGCCTTTGATCAAATGTTTGGCAACACAGATGGCTTTCCCTTTACCATCGGCACTCAAACTCAGAGTGTCACCGACCTACATCCATCCGGTGTCCAGATTTTTCAATTATGGCAGATATATCTGGACAACGTCAACCCTATCCTCAAACTAACACACACGCCCACCCTACAAGTTCAGATCATCGAAGCTTCAACAAATCTCACAAAAGTTTCTAAAAGCCTAGAGGCCCTAATGTTTGCCATCTATCTCATGGCAATCACGAGTCTTACCGAAGATGAAGTAGAGCAGACATTCAACGAGTCGAGGTCTAACTTATTAATGAAATATCAACATGGCACGCAACAAGCCTTATTTAACGTGGGATTCATGCGTATGCCGGATCTGACAGTGCTACAAGCCTATTTGTTGTATTGTGTAAGATGCCACCCTTAGTGTTCGATATTCTTCTAATCCTAACCAGTACCAGATCAGCGTTAGGCAATATACAGATCCTCGGTCTCTGTTCTGTTTAACGGGCATAGGCGTCCGTTTGGCCCAACGTCTCGGTCTCCAACGAGATGGTGCAGAATTCGGGTTCTCCCCTTTCGAAGTAGAGGAGAGACGCAGGCTTTGGTGGAACTTGGCTGGCTTCGACAGACGTATAGGAGAAATGTGTGGGTCGCCCATCACGGCCATCTCGACCGGTGGCAACTGCAAGTTGCCGCTCAATATTAATGACGCCGACCTAAATACTCATGCTAGAGATCCCCCTCCTCCTCACACGGGTGCCACTGAAATGATTTTTGCCCTTACACGACTCGAGTTTGCTAAAGCACCAGGCAACGATAAAATGAAGGCTCAGCTGTCTGCCGCCAATCCACAAGCAGTCACAAATTTAGCCGACCACCGCCTCTCGGGTTACTTCGACCAATTCGCACATTACATGGAGGAAACGTACTTAAAGCATTGTGACTCAAAGATACCTATTCACTACATGACTATCCTCATGACGCGAGCCACTATTTGCAAGCTGAAAGTTTACTCCGGTTTCTTTCGAGTTGCGATAACGGCTCCTTCCCCCTTACCCGCCGCTGAAAGCGAGGCTCTCCTAATCGAGGCGATACGAATGCTCGAGTATGACAGTATGATGCAAGCTCACGAAAGACTAAAAGGCTTCCTTTGGTACACGAAGATGTATTTCCCATTCCCCGCATACGTTTGTCTTCTGAGTGAGCTACGCCATCGTACGACCGGTGATCTGTGCGAACGCGCCTGGGAAACAATTTTCGAGCATGCAGAAAAAAGGAAAATGACGACTGTAACACGCACCCCGTTACACCTCGCCTTCAGTTCACTCTTCGTTAAGGCTTGGGATGCCAGAGAGTCCGCTGAAGCTGCAAATGGACGCACTCTAGCCCCACCGAGACTCATCACGGTCATGAGACAAATCGATGCTCAGAAGCCCAAGAAGCCCAAAAGTAAAACACCATTGCCAACGCCATCACCGAAGATGCCTGTAGCCAGTGCCGGATTCGCTTCAGCACCGCCGTCTTCATCTGCACCGGCAACAAACGTTGTGCCCAATACAGCAATGTACCACCCTACTGACATATACAACATGCCACCTACTGACATGAATAGGCAATTTTCTATGGTATTTCCTGACATCAATTTTGGTGGCGAGATGGACTGGAACTACCTTGTTCAAGAGTACGGCGGCTATATGCCTCATCAAGGCCCACACAGCTTTGGCATGCCGCAAATGATGCCGGATCCTACCCAAGCCGCATCTTGGCACTAAATGTATATAATAATGTCAACTTGAACTACGATTGTATAATGATATTATGACGAGAACTGGGTCGAGGGAATACACTCCCCAAAATCTCTTATTTGGTATATATTAATCAATACGCGGATGCCACCTACGACACGTTCGTAGTTTGGAAAGTTATTTCATCCTCCAAAAATGAACGGCGAGCTCATGAAAATAAACACTTGTCAGAACCTATCTACATGACTGCTTCCATCGTGTATACAGATCACCAATCCCATCACTCATTAGCTTCTCTCGCAGCCCTACGTCAGAAAAGCCCTGAAGTTTACGCCAAGCCTAGTCTAGTACTTGTTACTCCTTAGTTCACAGCTTTAGGGTTTCAATCTACCCTATAATTCTGCCGGCATGATAGTTTACAACTAACCGTTGACTACCATCAGTGAATCATGACGCCAACATCGTGACAATCCTGTTATCAAGTGGTTTCGTGGTGTAGTTGGTTATCACGTCAGTCTAACACACTGAAGGTCTCCGGTTCAAGTCCGGGCGAAATCATCATGTATCTTTTGCTATCTTTTTCTTTTTAGTATCCTTCTACCCTTGCTTGAACAACTGAATCCTCAGACCCCAGATATCACTCTTACGTATTGAAAGTCGAAGGGAAATGAAGGAAAGCCAGCGGCGGTTGATTCGGGCTCTATCTTGGAGACATCAATCTACAACTATTCCGGCTCATAACGCAGCTGCACAGCTTCCAATACCGAAGCTCGCGTTCAGTTAAACCTGGTCGGAATTGAGAGAATTGTCCTAAGCGACGGAGAGCGCCGAAACAAGCAGCATTTAAGGTCGCGTGGTTGATTTTCGTGCATGGATTTATTAGCATTGCCAGCCAGCCCTTGCATCATGTATTAGATAGCAAATTTTGTAGCTACTCCTCCCCTATACCTACGAGTGCTCACATTTCAAGTCCTGACTAATACCATTCCTAGTATTCGGTATTGTCGCCTAAGTTGTAAGATCCAGCAATGGCCTCTGCCAGTGTTGCCAAGGTTGAAATTCCCGGGGGCATCAACCCCACAACTCAGTTACGGCTCTCCTCCGGCAACGGACCCGTCTCCAGAACTGTACTGAAGACGCCTCTACGCGATGCGCTGCCATCAGAGATTCCGGTCATCGACGTCTCTGGTATTTTCAGCGCTTCCAAGGAGGCTCGGGTGAGCGTGGCCCGCCAAATCCGAGACGCTGCCACCAACAACGGGTTCTTCTACATCAAGAACCACGGTATCCCGCTGGATATACCAGAGGCGGCCTGCGAAAAACTCCTCGAGTTCTTCCGGCAGCCGCGAGAGATCAAAGAGCGCGCCCACATCAAACATTCTAAATACTTCAATGGCTACAAGCCGCCGAAGTCGCAGCGCATCAACCCTTTCGAGTCGGTCGATGTGCGCGAGACTTTCTCCTGGACCTACGACCCACGATATGACCCCTCGGTCCCCGATCCGGCTGCTATCCCGGCCCACGTCGCCCGGTACCTGAGATACGAGGATTTCTACTGGGAAGCTACAGAAAACCTACCTGGTTTCAAGGAGGCCATCGTGACTTATTGGCGTTCGTGTCTTGCCGTGGCGCGGGCCCTCGTGCGGTCCTTCGCGCTATCGCTCGACCTGCCCGAAGACTTCTTCGCGGAAAAGTTCACGCATCCTGACGCCGCCCTCGCATTGAATTATTACCCGCCGCTCCCCCGTCCGCAAGAACCAGCAGAACAGGGAGAAGGAGAAGTGTCCATCGGCTCGCACACTGATTTCCAGCTCTTCACGATTCTATGGCAGGACAACAATGGCGGCCTTCAGGTGCTGAATCGCCAGGGGCAGTGGATCAACGCGAAGCCCATCTACGGGACGTTCGTCGTCAATATCGCGGACTACATGCAGCGCATCACGAATGATCGCTACGTGAGCACCGTGCATCGGGCCCAGAACTACAGCGGGAAGGAGAGGATCAGTATGCCCTTTTTCTTCGGGTTTAACCTTGATGAGAGCTGTGGCGTGCTTGATAGCTGCGTTGGAGAGGGGGAAGAGAAGAAGTATGACGAGATTAGTTGCGAAGAGTGGGTTCAGAGACGAGCGAGGGCAATGCATAGAGAAGGCGAATCCTTAGGCAAATGAGCGCTACTGCTCCGGTCGATGTAAGCTACTAGTCTACTAAGCTACCGTATCAGAGTACCAATATCAATCTTCAAGCTTTCATCTAGGGCGTCTGTAGCGATTGTTGAGCCGTGTTGGGCGGTGATGTGGTAGGAGAGAGGTAAAGTCATTAATTAACACGCTTTTAGGTTTGGGGTCTCCTCAAATGCACTAGGTATTGCCTTCCAGCCAAATGAACGCTAGTAATCAATCATTACATATTGTTTCCACATACAACTAGCTCAACTTTATTATTAAAGCCAGAATAATTGTTGTCTGTACTCAGTGAGTGGATTGATGGGTTATGGGGTACAAAAACAGCCGATCTTTCATGTCGACTCATGTACCGGAAAACCGCCCGAGAGTCTAGTCTGTGTTATCATTCTACTGGCCAGGAGTTCCGAGTGTTGCATATTGTAAGTACAAAGGAAGAAGACACTAGAATGGCGAAGTCCGATATACAGGACAAGGGATCCGTTGACTTCTGCTACCAGGACGCTGACAAGATTTTCATGAAAAATGCTTCGACAAAAAAAAAAAAAAAAAAAAAAAAAAAAAAAAGAAAGAAAAGGGAATGTTAATCGACCAAAAGACAAATTTTTCGACCAGGGCCTGATTCGAACAGACGCTCCCGAAGGAAGTAGATTGCACGAATTCCTGTCAGACAGAAATTTTCGAGTCTACCGCGTTAACCACTCCGCCACCTGGCCGTGTTATAGGCTTTAGTTGTAGCCAATCATGATATTTCCCACTATTAACTAGTGTTGCGCAATAGAACTACACGACAACCAAAAACCTGAAGGTTTTGACAGTCATCAATAGCCAGCCATGTATTGCTGTCCTCATATCTTCTGGCCGGCAACTAAAAGGCTTGCAATGTCAGAGGACGGAGACGTGCTAATTTTTCCAATTGATCCTCATGCCTGACGAGATGTCAAACTTGATTCATAATAAGCGTACTTGCGCAGTTTATAGGCCCAACAGAGAACGATTAATGAGATTCACAGACAGCATCTTTTTATCCTTTATAGCCTGGCTTGCGTTCTTATATGGACTCGTTCCGGTCTTAGAATGTCTTCCGAAGCATTCATTGGGCTTTTCTGTCTTGAAGGTGTTTCCCCCGAATCAGACACACTATAAATTTGCCAGCAAGCAGTACGTGGCTGCCAGATGCACTAGACAGTAGCCCCTAGCTATTTCATGAAGAAGAGCCGAGGGCACCAGCGCCATTAGACGTAGCGATGTTAGTTACGAAACTTGTTATCCCCCTAAGGCCACCGAAGGCATGATCAAGCAGCAGGTAGACTATACCGCTAAGCAGCTGCGCAGGACCTACCTCTACAGCACTTATGATTATTGCTGGCCATTTCGAATATCGTCCATACTCAAGCATCCCAAAGCGTTCCTCGAATACTAGCTGATTCAGTCATAATATCAAATGTCGTAAAGCCGAAAGGCTCAGTTATATTGGGAGCAATATCCTCACGGGCACACATATTTATGAGACCAGCGTATTTTCGAAGACGTCGCTATCTCCACAACGACTGCTCGGGGAAATCAGGTGAGAATATACGTTGAGTGGCTTTGGGCTCAGTAGTTCCAAGTATTCTTTCATATATCGGCTGCCCTCATGAGGAAATTCGTCTGATTATTGTGTAGTTATATATGAACGGTTCACGTCTGCCACTTATTATACCTACTCAGATAAGCAAATTCAGTTCCCCCACCTTCAGAACAGTGACGTATGCCTCCGTGCTCTCGACTTATACTGTGACGACTGTCACAAGCCCCGAGTGTGACCCTAGGAACTGGGGACTTATTTCTAGGGGGGAGAGAGATGTTACGGTAACAACATCGCATGACGAGGAACCAGTAGAGAGCTCGTCTCTGAATTGACGGTTCTCGTAAAATCTGTAATGTTCCCTCGTTGCCCGCACGGTCGTCTCTTAATCCAAAAATGAACTCCTATCCCAACTACACAGTACAAAACAGAGATCCCTTCACACATCCCATGGAATCGTTATAGCTTTATTCCGCAATTAATCAAGCAGGTCTTGCAAGCTATAGTCCGCTAAGGCTGGTGCCTCTTGCTGCGCTGTGTTGCGGGGCTCGTCAATATCAGCGGGAGCGAGGACGTGTGGCAACGGAGTTACTTGGGGCGTCTGGCGCAGGCTCCCCTTATGCTTACAGTCTCCGATGGTATATATCTGGGGGATATTGGAGGACTCCATCCTTATAGGAAGGATTTGCTCGAGCGCATATCGGCGATTACACTCCCGCCAGAACGCCTGGTTTTGGATCATCTCTTGGGCCTCCCGTGCTATAGAACACCGAGAGGAACTATTAACGACGATGATGATCATCTTAATGTTGCGAAGCCGACTATATATGGTCATGAGGGTCTCTTTCAGCTTCTCCTCGTTTAGGATAGACAACCAGTCAACAACGACACTTTTCGTATTTTCGGCTCGCTGGAGTGGTCCAGTCTGGTGGAGCTCGATTTTCTCCAAAGTGTCGGGGTCGAAGTAGACGATGTTATTTTGTCCGCTGCCAATACCCTCGAGAAGAGGGATTAGATATGGAGAGCGGAGTATGTTATAAGCCTTGTTCTCCTGAAGGTTGCTGGTAGCAACGGAGAACAAGCTATGTTCGTGTAGCAGCAATTCTTTGTCGCCATGCCCGTCTTCGGCAGCGAAGCCAAGGCAGATGATTTTATTTTCACTGGTATGACGTCTGTGCTCCTCAAATAGTGACTCGGTGATTTCATCGTTCGTGTCGGTGCTTATGTCTAGAGAAGCCATCATATTCTTCTACAAATCGATGTTAGCTAACGAAGTAGAAGAACCTTCCATACCCTTGACTGGCTTGTGAAAGTACTCACTGGATAAAAGAAAAAAACCAGTTCGTATGAATACTACAGAGCAAATACTGTAATGCTAGGCTGCAGAGGCGATAATAAAGGAGAGAAAAAGGCTCAAACGAGGTCTTGCAGTTGTTCGTAAACTCCAATCCCTGCAATTCCAGTGTGATGGGCCGTAGTGCTGCCTAGTTACAACACGCCACCAGTGCCTGCCTGAGGCGGAAGCTTAGGTAATAAGCCAATGTGGATTTATAAAGAATATCATAGAGCTCTTTCCCCTTTTCGTGCGCTTGTAAACAACTATAATAAGCGAAGGCTTTGTTGAACTTTGTTCGCCAATGGATAAGCCCTGAACTTTATCCATTTTGGGGGCCATTATCATGTCAGCCCAGCCTAACTCAGCCGCGCGATTCCATGGAACATAAATTTAAGCAGAGTTCTGAGCTGGATTATGCTCTTTGAAGTCTGGGCAATGTACTGGCGCGATTATGACAGAGGATTTCCAAAGCGAGGTCATTAACCGGAGACCCAGCCAGCGAGCCGGAGGGTCATTCATGCAATTCGAACTTGGCCGTTACTCAGGATCATACTTATTATCATTGAGAGTTGATTTCTATAGCCAAGGATAATTTCCGTAACCGAACCCGGTATAAATCCAGGTCAGCGTAGCCGTCTCCAACTTGGGTAGCTCATATGACCCGGTAGGAGAGAACCGGCCGTTTTCTGAGACACTTCGCAATGACTGCTCAAACATCATCTTCAAATCTCGAACTTGATGACCTCTTGGTTGAGGGTCGCGACAACATGACTTCGACACGCGCGTGGATGCCAACGGTTTCTCGACTTTTTGAGCTTCAGGGTCGTATCGGACCAGCTTTGTCTGGTAGGGTCTGCGCAGCCAGTAATTTTCGAGGTTGAAGTTGATATTAAATCGATAGTGATACGCTTCCCAAAAATCATGATGATCCCAAGGGATAGTTTTGCGGTTCGGCTGAGTATAGGTCAGGTTAAATGTAGAACGCTGATATACTACCAGTATGATCGCCTCAAGGTTGGGAAACTTGGAGAGGTGGCCCAGGAGTCGTGCCATGTTTTGTTTCGTACGCACGGCCTTGTGAAAGAGACGGAGGTGTAACCCGGTATGCAAACCCCACTGTAATGCTCCAGATTAGTATTAATCATCCGAACGAACGTGACTTTTGAGTATTTCTAAAGCATAATGGTTGAATAATTCTGCAGTAGTGGCGTTTGAATAACCATTTCGAACGACCAAAAGGGGGGACGGCGCTGAGAATTACATACTGATGTTCCTAGGGCTATCCTTGAGGCACCACGTCTGACAGACTCGATTTGGCTCAACAAGCGAATGACTTTGAGAAGACGTCTCACTTGTAGATATGAGTCAAGAAGGAGGATATCGCGATCAAGGTTGAAATGTTTAACGACTCCAGAAAACGCTAGGGGTTTGTAATGGCGAAGCACTGCCTGCCGAGAATCCCGGCACACACGCGACAGTGTGGGAGGAGGTTCATTCCGAATATCAGCAAACATAAGTTTGGCACTTGGCCCTGCTTGTGACGAGACGGAACATGGTGAATCAAGTACTTCGTAGATTCGAGCTTCTGGGAAAGCATATTGCCACTGCATTAGACCAAAGTTGAACCGTCAGCAGTCCAATCCACGCTGAGTAGCACCTGGGAAACCGAGGGCAGGAGACAGATATCGGACGATCGCAACTTAAAAGGCTGACTTACGATTTGATCTCGCAGTTCCTGGGGTAGTCTAGAGAATTGAGGGAAGCTGTTGGCCATCCTATCCATCAAGAAGGGTTGGTCGGGCACTGAATCCGTATTCAATAGAACTAAGTCGATCGAAGATATCAGATTTAGGCTTTGAGTGCTAGTAAAAGTAAGCATTTCTATAATAAATGATGACAAGGGTACATACCACTAAACCTTCTCTTACAAGGAGTTGGGAGCCTTTTAGTTCTTGTCAGCCTAATCAATTCTTATAGCTATACTCAGGCTTGTACCTCGAGAAATAGGAGCAAAACTAGTCTGATAAAAGGTTAGCTACAGCTGGTTCCGCGAATAGGGGTGTAGCGCACTTGGCCCATGTGGCGTTAGAACAACGTACTCTGAAGCTTACTCAGAATAGACAAAGCCCAGTGAAGACTGGGTGTCCTGAGGAAAGTGTAGTCGCGAAACTAGAATATCAGAAGGAATAGAAGCGGTCATGGAGCCAGTATCGACAAGCCGGTCTAACACGCCCAACGTGAAACTCTTACGAGAGCCAAGAATTCACAACAAGCCGCTAATCCGACGACAGCTGCAGTGCGTTCTCATATGCTGGGTATCTATGCTTCCCGTCCCTAAAGATAGATAGAAATACGTCTAGGCGAATCTCGAATGATAACGATCAGCCCCCACCTTTGATACCTCGAAGTACAGCTAGGGGCTAGTGGATATACACGAGGTCGAATATCTTGGGTCAATGTTCTTTTCCCCTAAAGCATAAGACCTCTCGAAGATGTTGTTAAATAGGAAAGGTGATACCAAGTCAGAAAGTGTAGGTCAGAGTATTTACTAATGATTTGCCCTAAGTGTAAGATTATGAAAGCATATAAAAACCCCTCTGGGTGGCAGAAGAGGGACGATGACCCCCAAATAAGCAGCGAACTGAGGGCCACATAAAACGAACCCGCAATGGCAAGCTTATTGTACAGTAGATCAGGGAACTTTTGAACATGTCATATCAAGAAGTAGGGGCATAAGATGAAATGATTCGCACCAGGGTTGGTCAGTCTCGCCTGGTACAGATCCGAGGTCTTCCCCAATAGAGAGGACGTTT